GATGATGGTGAGGAGAGAGGAGAGATCTGCATTCAACACACCAGAAACCCACGCGACTTCCCCACCACAGTCTAGCACCTGCTTCTTCTACCACTTCCTACATGGATACAGGAAGTATTTCAGACATGGTTGACTGTGGTAAAAGATGTGCTCTCAAGCTCACATGGGCCCAAGAGACCCAGCCTGCACTGGATGTGGAGCATGTGATCCACTAGAACCCACAAGTGTTCTGTGGAACATGTGTCTCAAACACAATGATTCTTGCCTGAAGGCAAGACATCTGAAAGCCACTGTTACTGGCCATGCAACCCCACAGCAAACCTTTCGGTGTGCGACACTGGGGTTTGGGGCTCTGCTCCTCAATGAAACATGCCCATTTATTTGTAACAGAAGAATGATGTGAAACAAAAGATGTGATACACGTCACAAAAGGTGTTACATCTTCAGCCCTGGGGCAATTTTTACATCCTCTCACATCTTACTGGACACTTGCTCACTCTCTCCCATACACAGATATACGGGATGGCTTACCTTCCACCAAACTATGGCAAATGTGGATATTTTCACAGCTGACATCTCTGACTGGCCTGTTCTACTTCTTTTTGGAGGCTACAAAAGTCTACCAAGCTTCTAGCAAGAGATCTGAAACTAAACCGCCCTAAGTTGAGAAGAAGAAAAAGCTACAGCCTGCAAGCTTTCTTAGAGATTTAGAGGTAACACAAAGCAAGCAGACTAGTTGCTCATGTTTACTTTTGCTATGTAAACAGAAGCAAAGAGCTGACACTTGGAACTGGGTCTTCTTAGCTGTGGCCCCTAGATAGTGGGAAACCACGCTCTCTCTCTCTCCCCCAGAGATATTCATTTATTTCATTAAACACATTTTTATCCTGCCCTTCTTTCAAGGAGCTCTGAGAAGAGTACATCCACTTTTCTCCCACCATTTGATCCTCACAACAACCCTGTGAAGCAGTTCAGGCTAAGAGAATAACTGACCCAAGGCAAGCTTTACGGTACAGTGGAGGTTAGCACCTGGGTTTCCTAGGCCCTAGTTCAACACCCTCACTCACTACACTGCACTGTTTTACTCCAGCGGATATTCACCGATGCAGGAAGTGACCCTATTCCCTGACAAAGTCCTTCACCTTTTTTATTACTGTGAGTGTGCTGTTACCCTTATATTCATTGCTGCTTTTCAGTGCAATCCTAAGCACATTCAATGGGACTCTCTTCTAGTGTTTTTAGTACTACAGCCTTATTGCTGTGCTAGTATCGGTTGTGATTTCACTGCTACTACACATTCAGTTTTTCTTGTTTTAGCTTTGCTGTTTTGAAGATTTTTCTTACTCTGGTTTACAGTTAGATTTAGTTATGATTTACACTAGAAATGTGGGGTAAAACCTTTATAACTACATAAAATAAAGCGATAAGGGAGGTGGAGAGAGAAAGGAAAACAAATGCTCTTGACAAAACATGCCTACGTCTTTTTCTATTGCCCATGCATCGGAGTGGCTAAAATACTCTTCTAAAAAGGGCCAACTGATACATGGCATCTGTGATCAGGTCTCCTACGGCTTTCAGAGTTGTTAAAAACTGCATTGGGGGGGGGGGTTTTAACGCCTTTCCCCTATCCAGCTTTTACATTCCCTCCATTCAAGAAGCCGCTATTTCTTCTGTGGGGAAACTCATATAGGTACCTAAAAGTTTCTCCCACCTGGGGCCAAGATTTATTCATTTAAATCCAGCCTTTCCCTTAGAGGACACAAGGTAGCTTACAATTAATAAATTCATTCATTCATTCATTCATTCATTCATTCATTCATTCGATTTTTATCCTGCCCTCCCTGTTGAGGCAGGCTCAGGGCGGCTTACCTTAAAATGATTAAAAATATATTAAAACACAAATGTCTATTATCATCAAGACTTAAATTTAACCAAAAAACCCCCAAACCCTTAAGATTAACTGTTAGATCAGTTTAAATAGACACCCATAACAGGTGCAATAAAACCAGGGCTATTTTTGGGCAGGAACGCACAGGAACGGAGTTCCAGCTGGCCCCTGAGTTGGCCACGCCCAGCAGGAACTCATTAGCATAATAGGCCACACTCAACAGCAGAAACTCATTAGGATTGGCTACATTAGGGGGGTATGGCCTAACATGTAAAGAAGTTCCTGCTACAAAAAAAGCTCTGGGTTTTGACAACAAACAAGGTAAACAGAATAACAAGCAAAAGGTTGGTGTGGCTGGATGACCACACTTCTGGTAACATGTGGGTGTGGCCTAATATGCTAATGAGTGGTGCTGTCAGGGGTGTGGCCTAATGTGCTAATGAGTTTCTGCTATTGGGTGTAGCTAATGAGTTCCTGCTGGGGTTTTTCTACAAAAAAAGCCCTGAATAAAACACTCACCTTACATCTCTGGTGGGGAGAGGAAATAATTTAAATCAGGAAAGTAGTGCCGAGGGCAGGGAAAGGGTTACCCAACCTCGCCTCCTGGCTCTGCTGCCTCCGTGCAGCTGCTCCTCTCCCCTTCACCTACTATTAAATGTTTGCCTTTTGAATGATCAGGAATAGTAACAAGACCTCCTGCCTTTGTGTCTCGTTCAGGCCCAAGCAGAATGGAGCTGACTTTTCAGCCCTCGCCTCCTGCCCTCATCTCCACAAACAATGTGATTAAATGAAATGCCCAAAAAGAGAAAGCTGAGCTGGTAACAAAAATGTTTATTGATACACTCCCTGCACTAATCCCTTTGAAGAACTAACCGTACCTAGTTAAGTTAAAGAACAACGACAATAAAAAGAATTAGCTGAGCTTAGGGGGAAACCGCAAAAAAAAACTTAAAGAAATAAAGTGATGTTATCAGCTGAGACCTTAAATACCCTTAAGTGTATAGTAGCGATCCAGCACCTGTACTAGCGATGAAAAAGGAAAGGACGAGAGCTTTGCCAGGCATACTACACAGTCAGCAAAACCAAGAGCCAGGAAACAGATGAGGGATGTACCCTAGCTGCTAATGTACCATACAGAAGGGGATTTGTCTCAGACTCCGGTTATGCCTCCCAGGGAAGAGGGAAATGAAAGGAAAATTTAATGACAACACAGGTAACAGGAAAGACATTTTTACATCAGGAACTCAAAGGAGGATATGTTTTCGGTGAGCTATTAAGATGTTTGCTTATCGCATAAAAGCTCTACCTTGAAAAACCTGTTCCAGTGGCATTTACTAGACATTCTCTAATAATAAAGACTCTTATTGCACACACATTTTGAATTCTGTTCCACAAGAGGTGCCATGCTGCTGCTGCTGCTGCTGGGTAGAAAGGAAGCCTACAAAACAACCCAGCACCTGACTGGATTCTGTTAGACAGAGATGCTGCCTGAATGTTAACAGATTTATTTACCTCATTCGTTACTCCCCCATAGATCGAAGGCTTACTTCCCTTCCTATCTCAATCTTTTTCCAATTGGACAAATGAGCAATCCCACAGTAATTCAGTTACCCCCTGTGCATTAAACAAATGCAGAAACCTTACAACACAGATTCACCGGACCTGTGCGACTCTTGCAATGGCCATGGTTATTCACTTTTTAAAAGGTGTCCAGGCAAAAGGAATTCAAAGCAAATCAGTCGTGCCACGCGGCCCCACCAAACCCCAGTCTGTAGCATAGACAAGGAGCCCGGATTGCTGACACGGCCACCTGTGTCGCCCAAGCTGCAGGTCGTGGTGGCTACCTAGACTGGTCGGAAGGGATGGTTTCAGGCAGAGAACGAAAGGAGCTACAAAGCTGCAGATGTGACAGGACTGAGAGGATGACGTGCATGCAGCGTGGCCTGGACACAAGAAAGCTAGGCATACAAAGGGCAGGAGAGAGAGAAAGAAGCAGCAGCTGGCATGGCACTTGACATGCGGACAGGGCGACAAAAATCACCAGCATCTGGTAGGATGCCTTCTCATTTGGAAAATGCAAACAATCAAACTGTTTTGAGCTGGCGTGCGAAAAGATCGTTCTGTCTGCAGGGCCATTCTTAGATGCATCGGCCTTTACACAGCCGTGACTTTGGGGTTTTCCACACAGAGATGATTTCCTGCCGTTTACCTGCGGTGGCTGCTGATTCAGCACCAGTGGCAAACGGCTGCCGGTTTCTCCACATTTTCCCTGCCCTGGCCCTCCCATAGCCATCGTTTCCCACCACCACCACCACCACCACACTGGATGGCTTTAAAAAAAAACAAAACAACTGGCATGGCTAGAGCGCTACAGAGTTGCAACATTATAAAGATCTATTGCAACAATATACTAACTCCCACTTTTCATGTAAACAAATGTCTCTAGCCCTTTTTGTTGTTGAGCTGTAAGGGGAAAGTGCAAGATGTCTATTCCCTTTTTAACTCTGGATTGAAAAGAAACTTTGTGTTTTTTTAAATGCTGGAAGGACTTCACTGTTTCAACTGCTCATTATAATGCTGTAGTGATCTTGGCAGCAGTGTTCCCTCTAAGCTGAGTTAGTGTGAGCTAGCTCACACTTTTTTAGCCTCCGACTCACACATTTTTGTCTTGGCTCAGGAAGGATGGCTCCAGAGCAGACTAACTTATGCAGTAGCCAAATTGCTCACTCGCGACTTTAATGCCTGGAGCTCACAAAGTAGAATTTTGCTCACAAGACCCCACAACTTAGATGGAACATTGCTTGGCAGGACACATTTTTTAAAAAGAAAAAAATTATCTGGGGAAATAGCAGCTGGAGGGACGAAGGGAGCTGAGGCAGGGGAAATGGCGCCAGTGTGAGCAGGACTTTCCAATCTACACAGTAGCTACCTCAGCTCTGCTGCAATTTTCCCAAAAGGATTGGAATTAAGCTTGTTTGGGGCAGGGGAATGCTGGTGAAAACCCAGGAGGTGCGCAAAAGCATCAGTATGCTACAAGGAAGCATGGGGAAAAAGCCTTCTTCGAAACAACTTGTGTGCAAGACTCCTGAGGCTAGGCTATAATGTAATAGCAAACCACTGTTTGCCATTTGGTGAAGGAGCCGAGGTTCGCACCTTCCCTCTTCTCCTCTTGTGCGTGGACGGGCTAGCTAATCAGAGACCTCTGAGTTTCCACCCATAGTTGGCTTCTTCCTGTAAGCTAGGATACAAACCACAGCTCCTTCCATTTGGAATCCTGGATTTGGACAGAAACTACGGTTTGCTGCAAACCTAGAACCCTCAAAATTGGTTTCGCAGGTGCAAGGGAGAGCCTGAAGATCCACCAGGCTCTTTCAAGTTACAGCTTACTCACTTCTAGACCAAGCCTTTAATTTTTCCATTATGACCCCAGAGTATCAGCACAAGAAACACATAACAAACGAAACAGTTTTATTCACACTGACTCCAGGATCGAAAGAGCTATTTTAGATGCACCAAGTGGGATTTATGGCTTTCTGAAGAGCAGCCCACCCACCCCCATCCTTATCACGAGGCAAACAACTCTGAAATTCCAGAGGGGGAGATTGATGTCTGAGAAAACAAGTCCAAAGCCCTGCTTGACATGTGGAAGTGGTGGCACAGATCTTTGTATCCTGCCCAATTAAACAGGGGAAAACACTAGCTATTTCAGCAAATCAACAGCTATCTCAATTCTTAGCAAGCTACCCCATGGTTTTCAGAGACGGTTTCTTTTTTCTTTTTAGCCTGCCCAATTAAACAGGGGAAAACGCTGGCTATTTCAGCAAATCAACAGCTATCCCAATTCTTAGCAAGCTACCCCATGATTTTCAGAGACGGTTTCTTTTTTCTTTTTAAATAAAACCCCCCAAACCTTTAGCAAGAATATTCTCAAGAACCAGACCAGAGAAAAAATAACTGAAGAGTTCACTGAATATAAGCACTACTATGCAAAAACAACACAATTCACAGGGAAAATGACATGTATTTCCATATATAACATATATGGAAGAAAATGAAATCTTGTGATGTATATAATGGAACACTAACTGTTAAAAATCACAAAGGACTTGGGTTAAATTAATATGAAATGTACACTGACCTGAGTAAGATCTGGAATGTCACCCTGATCAATTCCAACTTGCTGGGTTCACAAAAAAGGGAAAAAAATGTACATTACTACATGCAGTGACAATGAAAAGAAAGAACTGTGGATCTGAATGTCTACATAGAAGCTAAGGTACCAGGGAGGACATGGAGAGCTTTCTGAACTGGTACAATTCTAAATGCCCTTTGTAATGGCACCGTAAGCAGAATTTCACATGCAGATCTTGCAAGGTCTCTCTTAATCTCTTGATCTCTTTCATGTACTAGAAACAGCCACAAGAAGAGGACTTTGGTACTATTTTGATAAATTATTTTCAAGAAATGTTTTTAAAATGCTTAGATGTCTTGGTCAGGACCTACTCTGTCACCTATGTTTGTTAATAAAAGTTAATAGTCAGAACTAGGCTTTCAAAACACCCCCCCTTTAAATATGCCTATTTTAAGTGATAATTAGTCAACAACCATCATATATTGCCATATTTATAAGAAATTATGAAGCAAGACTTGTGATTATATGCATTTATTACTGTACCAGTACAGAGAGCTAAATGAAATTCCATTGATGCTACTGGGTTTATTTACCTCTGCCACTTTGAGGAATTCTGACAATTTGGTCATTCTGGCTAAGAATTTTTTGTAAATATCCAGACCTTCTTTGCACTGGTTCTTCTTCATATCAAAATACTTTTCTGAAGCATGAAATTCAAAGGGGAAAAAAGCATTTGTAAGATAGTGTTTAAAATGGGACTACTGGAAAGACAAACTACTTTTACATCTAAAAGATACTTTAAAGTAAGTGCATTAACACCCAATACATTTTCCTGCTACGTTAAGATAATTAAGGAATGCTGGATGCTTTTCAGCCTGGATTTTCTGCAGTTTGTTTTAAAAACTTGATTTGGCCATTAGAATTACTTTCAGCACACAAATGTGTTTGGGCAGGTTGCTACTGTTTTCCAAACTTTTAAACATGCTTAATTACTACTCCATACTAACATTTTCTGTGCAAATGACAGAATGGTACCTTATTCAAAGCAATCACCATCCCAGGATTACAGACAGGGCTAAGGGAACCGATTCAGAGATCAGCCCTCTACATGCATAAATTGGTGTCAGATCCTGCACGGCAACCATAAGAACCAGTGCAGATTGAAGGGTATACTGCTACATGCCTCCACTGTCCTCCGTTAACAGCAATCTGCCTCTGGATCTGAATGAGTATCCACATGGGCACAAACAGTGGTGGTTTCCATGGATCGAGCCCAATGCTCCAAGGCAAATTAAGATCCCAGTCCTTCATAGATAGCTTGATTACAGTTAACAGCATAGAAATGTCAACCATAAGTCAGGGCATTATTATTATAATATGGCCAGGTAAACACGCACATCAGACAACACTTGAAATATAAATATTTACGGAAGCAAATTCTGAGCACAGCTCCCTGACTTCAAAAGAAGGCCCTTAAGGTTCGTTTACCACTTTGTACACAGAGCCAAAAGCTTCATCGGAATCACTGACCAATCTGGTCTGCCGTTTTGGAGACAGCTCTGGCTTCAAGTGAAATGAGCCCTCCCTCCCTAGACACTGGTTTAGCTGATGCCATGTTACTGAATATTCATGAACACTCCAACTGACATGTTTGTGTGTAGGGGGGTGTAGAGCAAGTAGTGGTGCATGTGCATATTGTAAATACTTGAACAAGGGAGTGTACGGGGAAGTGAAGGGAAAATGAATGCAAAAACAAAAACACATCTGCATATTTACACGAGTCTCCACTTGTAAATGTTTAAAGAATTTTTATTTAGGGTTCCACATACCTAACAGGTTAATAATCCCCTCATTATAGGCAGCAAACAGCCTAATGGAATCCTTAAAGAGGAGCATGAAGGCAGCATTTATTACACCATTTGTTAGTTCATTTGGGTTTGCCTGTGTAGAAAGCAGAGAGCTTTTTAAAAAAAGCAACAGGGAATAAAATCACAACACATTTTTTTCCCTCATTTAAAAACACCAAAAACCAATACTGGATTAGATCAATAAGAGACACCTCCAGCACTTACATCAAAATCCAGAAGTGCATCAAGTTGATTCTGAATAATTGGAAGGGTTTTCAGAAGTTTTTCGGTATTCATTGTTCTCATTACACCATCAATCCTTCAAAGAATGCAATGGAAAGAATAATCGGAAGAATACAAACAGAGGGCACCAAGCCAGGAGATCACAGTGCTACAAGCTCCCACAAGCAAAAGCAGCAAAGGCTACACAGAAAGCTTCACGGAAGTCAGTGGAACTTCCTTTTGAATAAACATGCTGGAGAATCTAGTGGCATAAAAATCAGATTTTTTTTCAAACTGCACATCAAATCTGATATATTTGCTCTGACAGATATTTAAATTCCCTCCAAGATTCTATCAAGATTATTTGCAGCCTGCTACAACAGCACCAGTGATACTAGCTACATCATGTCACAAGAAATTCGGTAAACCATACACTCGATTTCCCTTCGAATAGAATTCTGTACATCCTTTGTATTGATGGGTTGCGAGTTTGCTTAAGATCAAAACTCTGGTTTGACAGTTGGTTCAGTCAGACATTTCCATGAGAACCAAGCCATTATTGCAAAAAAATTATTAGTCAGTTTCCCAGAGACAAGGCCCAGGATTACTTTTATGTACTTGAGGAAAAACCTGGGTATGCAGGGGTGGGGAGGAGACTTTATAAATTAATCATCAGGCAAATAAAGCAAATTAAAAGCGGTCTGATGAAGACGGAACGTGTCCCTGGAGGCACGAAATGCTGCAAGTGGTCAGTTTTAAGGGGTAGTGGTGGTAGACAGAATGGGGGAGGGGTGAGGAAAAAAATTGGTCTAAGAGCTTAGAGGATCCTGGAGAGGGATATATCCAAATAATTTTAACTTTCCCCCTTCTGTGCAGGCCCCACCCTGAAGGAACAGAACGGCAAGAAAGCACCATAAAAGAAATCCTCACCCTCTTTTCATTTTGGTGAAGTCAACTGCTACAAGTCTGTAAGAAAGTGCTTTTTCATTCAAGTATCTGCTGTATCGTCTGATGAAGGTAGACATATCATAGCCTGGAAATAGAACACTCTTCCAGTTAAAGAGTTCAGATATTCCTTCTACCATGACTGTCACAATTTATTCAGTGTGAATCACACACTTTATTATTACTTCCAGGGTGCTACCTTCTCACCTTAACCATAATTATACAAAACTGAAGCTTCCGATACAACTATCATTCTTCTAGGAATTGGCAGCTAGGTGAGATTTCTTTGAATGGGGATACTATTTCAGATTAAAACAGATAGAGCCTGCAAAGTCTTACAGCTTATACTTGCAATTAAACTGATATGATATAGCAAGATCACAACTAATGCTATCATGGACCATTTTACCAGGAGGATAAATATCCATCGTTTCTCTCTCTCTCTCTCTCTCTCTCTCTCTCTCTCTCTCTCTCTCTCTCTCTCTCTCTCTCTCTCTCTCTCTCTCTCTCTCTCTCTCTCTCACACACACACACACACACACGTTTACACACATTTTTAAATTAGTTATTTATTTCAGCTATAGTATTTGTGTTTAAAAACAACCCAACTTAAAAATGAGATCCTAATACAAACTAACACATTAAAGTCTACAAGCTGTAACAGTGGAATTCTATGTAGAGTTAACTTTAGTCGAAGCCGCTGAGATCACTAGACTTAGACTGGAGTAACTCTGGCTCAGGATTTCACTCTTAATGGAAGTGAACAGATTGGTTCAGTTCAAACATCGCAACAAACCATGGCTTGCTCTAACCCAAGCACAGAATCCAAACCATGGCTTGAGTTTCCAAAAATATATGAACAGGGAAACCATGGTTTACAGTTGCTTGTCTACTCCATTTTCAATCCTCCCATCACTGAGTTTAAGTCCAGTGACACCTTTAAGACCAACAAAGTTTAATTCTGGGTATGCACAGGAAAACTTGTACCTAGAATTAAACTTTGTTGGTCTTAAAGGTGTCCCTGGACTCAGACTTTATACTATAAATATGGTTTGACAATTCAGACATTAGCCAGACCATAATTAACGCAAACCATGCATTCTAGTTTGCTGGTCAATAGCAAGCTGTTGTTTGTCAAATCAATCAACATATCAAGGACATAGTTACGTTTCCTTAACTTTTTAGCACAATATCCAGATGGAGCTGATCCACTGGCTAGATTCAGACATTACCATAAACAATGGTGTGGTGTTCTGCTATGTAAATATTTTGTGTGTTTTATTTCTGTGTTCTAATATGGGCATATATATATATTGTGCTGTACTTTAGAATGCAGGCCTGTAGCATAAGAAAGAGGGAGGCTAGATGGGTGATTAAAGTGTGTTATGAATGTTCTGTTGGTAGCTGTATCTAAAGGAGAAGAGTTAACTGGTTTGTAGAGAGGGTTATGGTGTGAGAGTGAAGAAGAGAGTTCAGGGGGCTAAGAGACTGAGTGAGGTGCTGTGGATTATGAGAGAAATCTGTGTTCATTGTGGAAGCCATTAGCCTAAGTGGCAGGTGAGGAAAATAAGCCTTTGTGGCTAGGCCTATTTAAGGAACATTAAAGGAAAAAGAACTGCACCTATCTGAAACCACTGTGTTTATGAACTATTCTGAAACCTTTCAGCTGTTATATTTCTAAATAAACTCTTTATGAAAGTGAGAACAGCAGTTTTATTTAGACTAAAGGGTCCTCTTTTATCTCAGAGCCACCTCCACACACTGACCATTCTGTCAAGTCTATCATCTAGGACTAGGTCTTCCGGTTCTTTGGGGCCAACTAAGAATTGTAAGGTGAGAGCCTTTGGTGGCAGTGAAAATAAGCAGGAAATGCTAAGAAAGGCAATGAGGCATTATAACACCAGTTGTCTAAGAACACTACGGATTACAGGTGTTACATATAAGGGGTCTCTGAAAGAAACAAAATGTTGCAAACGGTTTGATCAAGCACCAGCCAGTTCTGAAGTTCAAATGCAGATAGTACAATAAAACCAGGGCTTCTTGGCTGGTTTCACACTGGGATTTCAAACTGTGGTATATAACTAGATTGTTGTACACAATTCGTACCGATTGTGATTTGTTGCAACGTGGACAATGTCAGAATTCAAAAACTATGGTCTGTTGAGTAGTGCTGACTGTTGCAGCCTCTTGGCCGTAGCAAAGGCAGTACAGAGTATCTTCTTTGTTGGGAAGTACAGAAGAGGCAAGAAACAGACAAACCAGGGTTTGCACACAAACCAGGACTTGTTACTTGCACCCAACCAACAGACTAACCAGAATTTGCTGTAAAAACCACAGTTTATTGCAATACTTGAATTCAGCAACAGAGTTTAAGGCTGCTTTTCAAAGTAGCAGAAAGAATTACGGGTACAATTCTGACTTCTGAGGTTGTAAGTGACACAATCGTGACATGCACATATTTGTTACTGTGGATGCCTTATGTACGTTTCCTTGGAAGGACATCCCACTTGTTAAGTAGGATTTACCACCAAAGTAAGTGGGCACAGGACTGCAGATTCAGCCTTTAAGCAAGTGATACTGCTTAGCATCCTTACATGAGCACCAAGAGAGCCCAACAAGAGTATCTCTCATCTCCAAACAAATACAATTCCTACAGTGCTGGCAGGCTGTCATGCTTCTACATGGCATAAAGGTTCTTTTTAGCTGGAAGCCAATGTGTTTCAATCGCTATAGCAACTACTTAGTATCATTCTGAATTAAATCAACCTGATTTTATTTTTTAAAGCAGCGATACACTTTACAGGACTCTTGCGCATTCCTGAAACAAGCCTAAAGACCACAATCTTTGCCATTCTTTCTTTGGAGCGAATTCTATTGAACAAATACAATTTATTTCCATATAAATATTTCAGATCACACACATGAAACTAGAGGAAAGGTAAATTAAGGAGCAATGCTAAAATATGACAGGGAGTGACTTAACCGAGTAATTTAATATGGTTGAATTCCCAACATTTCTTCAGTCTATACAAATTATAATACATATTGCCAATTGCCTCTCTAAAGAAGAAGAAGAAGAAAAAAATATCCTTACCCTGCATGGCACTTTTATCCAGATAGTTGTTTAGATTAAACAGTGTATTTCGAGATGCTAAGTACTGGATAAAGCGCTGTTGGTGAAAGAGATAAGATTCCAATTATTTTCTTTCCATAGATTTAATCATACAAAGAAGCTAATTTCCAAGCCGTTTTAATGGTGGCATCTGAATTAATCAAGTTATACCCAATACTAAAGAAAGCAGATGAGATACAGCAGAAGCCACAGGTTCTGAAATCACTACACAGGAAAGGAAAAGAGCGGTGACATACCCCAATATGTAACGGCATCTGCAACCACTACGTCTTACAAACTCTTGAGTGCTGTAAGCAACCGAACTGATTGTACTCTCGTACGGAATTCAGTTCATGAGGTTGCCATCTCACAATGGTTGTAGAATAGATACACACAGGCTGTGATCACACACGCTGAATAATCTACTTTCAATGGTCTTTCCAACTGGATTTTGCCAGTTTACACAGTAAAATCCAGTTGAAAAGTACATTGACAGTGGATTGAAAGTGGATTTAGTGTGTGTGATCTCAGCCACATACAGCTATTCTCAAACAAAAAACAAAATCTAAGCCTGTATTGGGTAAAGACACAAAAAAGTTACTATATAGTTAAGTTTACAGCTCCAATTACAGGTCCATACATATTTTCCTCATTAATGCCACCTCCAATAATCATATCTGCCACAAAGTGATGGGCCTATGGGCCTATTCACCCAGCCTTTAGGATTCTACCAGCAGTAAAGGCAGGAATCCATCCCCTGCTCACCATAAAATTAGAAGAACACTGCCGGATGAGACCAAAAGGCCGTCTAGTCCAGGACCCCATTCCTTACAGTGGTCAACCATGTGTTTCCAGAAAGCCCCCTGTTGTTGGTGCCCAGCAACTGGGCTGGTGGCCTACAGCTTCTGAACCTGGAGGTTCCATCTAGTCATCATGGTTAGCATAGTGAGCATCTGTTAGTAAACCTAAATCCTCCATAAATGTATATATTTCCCTTCAAAACCCACCTAAGCTGGCAAGCATCACCACATCTTGCGGCAGTAAAGTCCATAAATTAATTATGTGTTCTGTAAATAAGTAGCAGCCTGAATGGTCCCGACTAGCCAAAGCTCAGATGCTAAGCGGGGTTAGCCACGGTTAGTACTTGGATGGGAGATCATCATGGAAGACTGGGGTCGTTATGCAGAGGCAGGCAATGGCAAACCACCTCTGAATGACTCTTGCTTGAAAACCGCATGAGGGGTTTGACATAAGACTGTTGCAATTTGATGCCACTTTATCACTATTACTCCACGAGTAAATTCTCTCCTTTGCCAGTCCTGACTCTGCTGCCAAATGAATTCCATGGGGCAATCAAAAGTTCTAGCATTTTGGCAGAGTAGGAAAAAAAACCCCAACTATTCCCTTTCTCCACACTGTGTATAATTTTATGAACTTTTATCATGCTGCCCAATTCACTTTTCCCGTTAGTAAAGAAGCCCCTTCAGCTTTTTGTTGTAGGGAACGTACTTTTACTTTGTGATCATTGGCTTGCCTTTTCCTACACCTTTCCTAGTTCTAAATCTCCTTTTTGAGACAGGGCAACCAGAACTGTACATCGAATTTCAACTGCAACCTCACCATTCAGTTATATAAAAGCGCTACAGTATGAATACTTTTATGGCCGATTTTAACGAATTAAGGCCCTGGTCACACGTAGGAAGTTGGGTCGGTAGAAGGACGGTTCGGGGACGCAGCAAATGGGTGCGATCCCACCACAACATCTGGGAAGCGTAGTGCTTCTGTCCCCGAACCAGCCCTTCCACGCGAAAGAACGGACCAAACCAGAACCACCTACCTCGGTGGTTCATCTCGAAGGGGCGCTTCAATCCCGGCTGTGGGATCGCCAGTGCATCCTTGCGCCGGCGCATCCCCGTCTCCTAGCCAAACTGCGCATGCTCCGACATGCGCAGTTCGGCAGGCTCCCCGTCAGGACTGTGTTTTCTCCCCGGCATCTGATCGTGCCGGGGAGAAAAGGCGCCACGGCCCAGGGGATCCGTGGGATCCCGCCGCGGTGTCTCAACTTTGGCGCGGCTTTTAAAAGCCACGCTTTGAGCGGGTTTTCCCCTGCCATGTGGTAGGGGCCTTACAATATCAATTATAGTAGGGAAGCCTGTAGTTGAATGACATACACTCAGCTTCTTTCTAATAGAATATGGGCTGGATACACAAGTCCTAGTGGTTCTTCTGACCTGTTCTGTCATACAATCAGTATAACTAGCACCTTGCTAAGACTCTCTCCTGACCATTAAACATGATTTTCATGACAAATGATGGTAGCCTTACCTCATTTCCGTACATCATGAGGTGGTGTGTTGTGATTAGAGCTTTGAACACTACAACCCAGCTACTGTTCGCCGTCCTCTCAAAAAGGGTGTCCGCCAGCTGTGGAATATTCACATTCATCTCGTTTGTGCACTGAATTAGATCTAAAAAAGTAAAGCAGTGAGAGGGTTCCGTGAAGGCAAATACAGAAAGTGTCACAGAAATAACAGACTGAGTATATCATTCAGGAAGTACTTTGTAGGCATCGCAGATAAATAGGATATGTGTTTCTGAAACCTCTAATTAGACATGTATTAGTGTTTAATCCCACCCCTCTTCTGAGAGATGAGACTGATATACATTCTCTCTCTCTCCCCCAGCCCGTGTCTTAGCTCCACAACAGCCCTGTGATGTAGGTACTGCTATCAGGTTATGCTACTAGTCTGAGGTCATCCAGTGACCTGGGTCTCTGAATCCCTAGTCTGAAACCCTGAATTAAACCACACTGCCTCTCCAGGTGCTTCTATTTTGGTTGCATTCACAGATGCTGCTCGTAATTGGCAACCCAGTTATCATCCAAGTTGTGGGTAGTTCTCCTGTCACTAGGGCTCGGCCTAATATGCTCACTGCATTTATCAGAGGTGTGATTTAAACAGGGCATAGGGAGGTGCTGCTTGGCTTACTGCTCAGTGCCTAATTCCTCAGTATCTTAGCCATTATGATGCCCCAGCTCTTATACGCAGGTAGGTCTCTTTTGGAGTGGATCCACTGACTGCATTCCACGCATGATGGACCGCCTCAGGTGCAGAACACATTTCCTCTGCTGCTAGCACTTCCGCTCCCTCGAGAAATTGCTGAGAAAGACAGCTCTTGCACAATCGGGAGTGCCAGAGACAAAGGAAGCGTGTTCTGCAGTGGAAGATGTCGAGCCTGCATAGAACATAGTCATAGGAGCCAAACTTTTGTCTGCCTTTATCGATTGTACTTTGGAATGGACTGGATGCAAGCAGCTGTAACTCAAAGGAAAATAACTCCTAGGACCATCTCAAAGACACTGTCTCAGTGCACAAACACTGCTAATTCAGTGCTGTAGGTAGGCTCTACAGCAGTGCTCGGCCTTCTACTTCTACAGGAAGTTGCACTGCCATTTGCACAAGCCGAAGAACATCTTCAGACTTAATTTCACTCTGCTCACACAATGTTCCAGGGCAAGGCATAAAGCCCCCCATCCATAAATAAGAGACATCTTCCACATGCACATATGCATCTTTGGACTCAAACCATACTCTCTCAGAAATACTTTCTGAGGCTGCAGTCACACGGAACATTAGCCACGCAAGAGACGGAAGACAGGCGGATTTTCCGGGCGCGATCTCACCGGCACATCTGGGAAGCGTAGCGCTTCCATGGCACAATCGAGGCTTCCTGGCGAAAACGCGCTGCAAAAAACTAGTACCTCGGAGGTACTAGGTTCCGGAAACTGCGGGGCAAGGGCGGGCGTCTGATGGCATTTCCGGTGGCATCCGGCGCCCACCCATGTCCCCTTGCGAAAAAGGGTTTTTTTCCCCCAAGTCTCCGTGGATGCGCACACGCACCCAACGGAGCATGCGCATTCGTCATGTACACAAAAAAAGAAAACCAGTTTGCCGCACCGCGCGCTTCTTCATTGCGCGCAGGCATGTCCTGTGATCGGCACCTCTCCCTACCCACGGAACCTCCACAGAACCTCCACAGGAGGTCTGATCTCTTAACCGCGCGTTAGTTTGCCCCGGGGCAAACAGCCACGCTTCCCCCCCGCAGTTTCCTGCCCGTGTGACCGGAGCCTGAGTTACCTAACTGAGAAATACTTTCTCAGCCATAACCCCTCTTCTCTGACGTGTAGTTCTTCAGCCCTTGAGTTCTCTGGCTTCTTTTCTTCACAGATTTGTATTTTGGGTTAAAAACAGGTCATATAACCCATAGCAAAAAAATTCCAGTAGTGACCAATAGTTATCAATGGGGATTATTAGATAAGAGAAGATTTAGTAGTCCTCATTCTAGCAAACCTCTATAGGAATTCCATGCCTGACAATGATTTTCACCTGTATGAAATAGAAGGCTCAGTCAGGAACAAGAAAAATTTGTGTAGACATCATGAACAGGTTGACATAAGTCTGTGGGTGCCATTTTCCAAAATGGCCACCACTCATCCTCCAGTGCAGACTTCTATCTCTTGAAACATGGCAGCTCCAATTATAAAACTGATGTTAAAGTCAATGGTAAATCTCCAAACCTGTATCAAAGTTGAACCTTTGAAGTTACACAGCAAGGTATCAAAATACACATGAAATATAGGTATTTCAATCTTCACTGCTTCAATGGAGTGTACAAATGTGAGTAATTCTTCCAGCTCCCAAAAGAGCACCATAACAATTTTTTCCTGTTCTACAACTGCATCCATAAAGGATTCAAGAAGTCACAGCTTGATGTTTTCATTTGACACTGCATTATCTCCCACTGCATTATTTGTATCATAAATATACAACAATAAGGTTTTTAAGACTGAGTTTTATTTCTTCCAAAGCCTCACATTTATATGACTGACATCCCATTTTGATCTTCCAGGCAAGTATATATATATTTTTTTAAAAAAAAGATATGTTTCCAGAGAACTTGTGATCAAAGAAATCAGCTCCAAAAACATAAAAGTTCATTATCCAAGTCAGCCATGCATTCATACATTTCACCTTTCAATAGCTTTGCTACTATCAAGAATCTCTGTCCTTTCCACTCAAGTTCCTCTGCAACTGAGTTGGCGGGGGGGGGGATCTCCCCAGTCTCATCAATGCAACGCCCTCTTGATGTGGGGGAATTACAGCCCCTCAAGATCAGAGTGTCTCATAACTGAGACTTCTGCTAAAGAATCCTGCCTTAGGCTGAAATACAGCTGCAGGCCTCAGTCTTTGTCATTCCATGACTGTGGAACTGCACTGGAAGTAGGCTGTCTCAAGGCTAAAACTTTCTCTTACGATCCCCTCTGAACCTTTTCACCTTTACCTAGGTAACTCCTTACTCACAAAAAGGATTACTCATTGATGATCCAACAGGAGCTACACTTACTGGAGTACACCCTGGAAAATAAAAAGTAATATCTATCACATAATTTCTTATTAGACAGTTGTTTTAGAAGCATATTTTTGAAATTTCACTGCAAAGCTAAAAACCATTTGTGAAGATGCTAGGCAATCAGACCGAAATACCCATTATTCACATTTATTTTGATACCTTCTTGAGTAACTTCAAAAGGATTACTGATACAGCTTTGAGGATATCACAGTTAGCTTTGTTATAGTTCAAATGCTATCAATGGATACACATTTTGTGGATGAAAGTTCATGAGACAGATGCTGAGGGATTTTGAGGGCAGCCATTTTGGAAAATGGCATCCACTGACATGTCAGCCTGCTTAGGATGCCTACTCACATTCCTGTTCTTCTGAATCGTATCCTCTGCACCACACAGGTGGCAAATGCTGTTAGGTATGAAATTCCTACGAAGGTCTATCACAGAGACCGTATTCTAGTATATATCGAGAGATAAATGTGTCATTCCCCATCCCCACCCCAGACTAAACTGAAAGATAGGATATTTTAGCATTGTTTACAGGGTATTACAGAAAGCACGGAGAACAAGAAAAACTGTGAGAAAGTGACGCTTAATATATGTCTTTAAAGAATCATAGAAAAGTGAACAAAATAATATACATAATCATAGAAAAATATATATTGACGGTGATCTCCGGAATGTCTGGCCATTTCGAAGGAAGATCTTCTTCTGAACAAAGATGTGGGACCTTATGAATACAACTATATACATATTTGAAATTCTGGACATTATATGACTTGTTACAATGTAATTAATGAAAAGAGTAAAACCTTACAAAAACTGTCTCTCAATAGTTCATATGTACATTATTTTTGTTCACTTTTCTATGATTCTTTAAAGACATATATTAAGCGTCACTTTCTCACAGTTTTTCTTGTTCTCCGTATTATCTCATTACTGTGCCAATCAATTGTTATTACAGAAAGCAGCCATGTGAGAAATACGACGTTTGCTCCTCCCCGTGCCTCTCTGAAGACCTTTAAGGACTTGCAAAAGCCGAATAATACAGAGTAACTGTACAGTAATGTAAACTCTAGAACATTTCTCGTACATCGTATTGTTGTGATCTTATGAGAGATTTTGAGGGCAGCCATTTTGGAAAATGGCATCCACTGACATGTCAGCCTGCTTAGGATGCCTACTCACATTCCTGTTCTTCTGAATCATCTCCTCTGCACCACACAGGTGGCAAATGCTATTAGGTATGAAATTCCTACGAAGGGCTATCACAGAGATCGTATTCTAGTATATATCGCGAGATAAATGTGTCATTCCCCATCCCCACCCCAGACTAAACTGAAAGATAGGATATGTTAACATTGTTTACAGGGTATTACAGAAAGCAGCCATGTGAGAAATATGACGTTTGCTCCTCCCTGTGCCTCTCTGAAGAACTTTAGGACTTGCAAAAGCCGAATAATACAGAGTAACTGTTTTGTTGTTGTTCAGTCGCACAGTCGAGTCCGACTCTTCGCGACCCCATGGACCAGATCACGCCAGGCCTTCCGGTCTTCCGCCATCCTCTGAAGTTTGCTCAACTTCATGTTCGTTGCATCTATGACGCTGTCTAACCATCTCATCCTTTGCCATCCCCATCTTCTTTGACCTTCAACTGTACAGAGTAACTGTGCAGTAATGTAAACTCTAGTACATTTCTCGTACATCGTATTGTTGTGATCTTGTCAGGAAGGCCAGCATTCTTATCCCATATCCCACATGGAAATCTAAGGCTAAGCAAAAGCGAGATCGTTCCAGAGGATAGCCAAGCTAGTCTGCAGCGGAACAATTAGATCAGACGGAGCTCTGACTCTCGAAAGGTTATGCCCTGAAACTCTTGTTGGCCTCGGAGGTGCTTCTGGACTCAAGTCTAACTGTTCAAGAAGCGAGATGTTTGCTTAAGGCCCACTTAGAGAGTTTGTAGCAGAAACAAGGTTCAAACCAGGGATTTCCCGATTCATTACTTGGCCTCTTGGCCACCGCAGTACACCACATAAGAGCAAGGGACTCGTGAGAGAAGCAC